TAAGTTTATGACTTTCATGACTTCTTGTGTCTGATCAGGGTATCATCGCGTTCAAAGCCGGCTTTCTTGCCATCAAGAAATGGTCAACAACTGCTATCGCTCGGCCTACATTTCAAAGATTTGCTCCTCCTTAACCAGAATAAAGAAATGTGTAAGTAAATCGTTGACGTACCATCGAAGAAAAGCCGCCCAAACTCCAGCACATTGCTCTTTTTTAATTTCTCAGTCATCTTTCTGCAAACTTACTGACGATCTGCATAAAAACAATGAAAAACCTTCGCCGGGACGGTCAAAAACATTTTCCTTGATCCCTGGATTACGTAACATTTCTTTCAATGAGTTGCATTTCTAACGTATTCGTAGAATTTCTCCTTCGTTGGCATTCGCAAATATGAGTTTGGATGGTCGAAGATAAAATGGTCTTGCAAGAGAATTTCACTTTTCCCGAATGCTTCGCGCACGGGCTAGACAAGTAAACAAGTGATGTCACGGACATGCGTAGTACGTTATTCAGCCCTGTCGACAGCTGACAGAAGGGCGACCGAGGTATCTTGCGAGCCCTCAGTCTCGTGGTTTGCGGTCTATAGAATGTGTAACGAAACTGTAACGCGACTGTCAACGCTACCAAAATAACCCATTTTTTCAGAGGTTTTCGACGGGTTTTGATGTTCTAACCCGTGTTCTAACGACAAACACGTCTCCTCTGGACCCTGTGTTTAATGGTGATAATCAAGCCTATCACCCACCTTTTCATCTAGAGGTGTTTCCATGTGTCACCCTGGAATCAGGTTTTTCATAACCGCAAAATGTCACGTGACCACGGCCTTGCGGTGACGTTTGCAGCGGGGAAGATATGTTGGGTATCCGCCCTGTTTCCAGTTTGCAGTTCACGTTTGAACCGCAGGAAGGGCTTCCAGCCGTAAGTGATTTACGGCAAGGTTTGTTGCCACAAAAAATTTTACAGCCTCGCGTTTAAAGGCTGCGATGTGTTTGTTGGATTTTTGATCTCGAATCAATGAATTATTGCTGATTTTTGGGCGATTAAAGTGATGCACTTCAACTTGATGAAAGCAACATGGCGGCCCTAAACAATAAACGCGTGGTTCAAATCAATTTTATTTTCATTTCTGCCGTACTAACAAAGGAAAGTATTCTGTTCCAATCCAGATTTTTTTTTTCTATCTTGTTACTGAATTCATAACTTAACTCAGTCTCTGTTTAGTTCCTATTTTTAACGTATCGCTCCGCGAATTTCATTTTATTTTGCTTATTTCTTTGAGACTGGGCAGCCCAGGCTTCATAAAGCTTTCTGGTTTCTTCTGGGCTCCCTTGCAACCTTACAATTCCTATATGTATTCTTGTCTTGTATTATATTTTGGCTAAATAAAAATGAACTGAACTGAACTCCTCGCTAAAGTTTGAAATATCGGCAACGCGAAACTGCAAACGCGTAACGTGCGGTTTCCGGTTTGCCTGATGCTAGAGGTCTCTATTTTAAATAGAGATGCCAACCTCTGGAGATCTAATTAATATCTGGAGACTCTCTCTTTTTCACTACCCCCCTCCCCTCCCCCGCCTGGAAACAAATTCTGAAGATGGGATTTTTTTGGGTATAAAATATGAACCTCTGTCGGACCCCTCCGTCATTAAAATATATGAGTGGGGCCCCTGGGTGGAAATGTTTACAGATTTACAGTGATGATGACACTTCTGATTTTTGCCAGGTCACTGGGGTAATCCTTGAAGAAACGAAGCAATGAATTCAATTTACGTGGTGGGAACAGGGTCCTTTTAGAAAGAAAAATTTATCATCAGACAATGTTTTTCTGTCCCGAACGCCCGGGAGACAGCAATTTGTTTGTAACAAAAATATGACGATGACACTGATTTTTGTCCCCGTCAATCCCTCTAACGGGCCTGTCAGGAAACGTAGCCTTTCTCCAGTGGGTTCAAAAGGTCGCGTTTGCGGGCAATAATGGGTTTATTTCGATCCATGTTGTTTGACTAGGGGGATCTTCGTTTTCTACGTTATGTAGGAAACGAAGACCCTAGTCAAATTTTGTGGTATTTGATAATCTTGTTGTTTCTTACACTCCGCTATTGTCTAGAAGTCGTTATAAGCAGTTTCGAGCCGTTTCCAAGTGATTTTGCATTAAGAGAAAGGTGGGTTAATTTTGATGGTGATGATGATGATGAATAATGAAAACAATCCGTGACGTTATAAATTTCCCTTGCGCGAATATATCTTTTTGTACCTTTGTTTTCTAATGGTCCGTCCCTAAGCGGACACTTGGGAAGGTCCCGAAGGTGTCCGCTTAATACAGGTTTCGCTCTACCTAATCTTTCAATGGCATCTAAAACAAATTGGCATCCCCGCTTCCTGTCTTCAGAAATTTTTACTACCCCCCATTTTCGTTTTTAAGACCCCCCCAAAAAAATCCTCTGCCCCATCTGTTTATTTACAAAGTCTATACAATAAGTTTTCCTTTCAGTCATATTACTAGGAGCGAATTATAATTTTTGTTCTTATTTCTGACAACCCGCCTCGATTAACTATGCTAACTGCGGGTTGTCAATGTTTGAAATATTGTTTTTTAAAAAACGAAATAAAATGTTGTTGTTGTTTGAAATATTCACACATTCAAATTATGGAATCAGTCCGAAGCAGAAACGGAAGGTCCGAATAAACCAATCCATGCCTGTTTGTGATTCTGTCAATGATTAAGTCCCTGTCATGATCTGTTTCGAGGTTTCGTATCCAGGCCTGTTGGTTTAGTGGGGGTCAGCTATGGGGATGTGATGCAAGGGTCTATGGGAAGTCACGCTGTGTTATTAAAAAGATAAATAAATAAAATTAAAAAGTCACGCTGTGGTCGTTGTTGGATGTTCGTGCTGTGGGTACCCTGGGCACCAGAGGTTTTTCTCACGTGCGACGGGGAGCTTCGTTTCGTCGGCCGAAGGCCGAAGACACGAGCGGCGAAGCCGCCAGAAAAGGTCACTTTTTAAGACTTGACCGAAAGACGAAACCGCGCATGAAAAGCCTCTGGCACCCAGGGTATGCTGTAGGCGACCCATGCTTACAATTTGGCACCAAGCAAACACACTGAAATCGGCAGTTTGCCCAATGGCATCCTGTTAGGGAATTAAATTGGCGGCAAATTGGACTTGTGGGTGACGCTTATGGTTTGCGTTTAAGGCGTGGGGGAAATCTTTGTGTGGTGTGTGAGGTAGTGGGAGCGAACCTTGCTCGTTTTGTCACGTTAATATTTTTATTCAAGACATAATTCAAGCTTTTTGAGTATTTTATCTCTATAAAGTATGTATGATTGGATTACCATGATTATGGGACACAGTAAGCGTGAATTTAGCATAAGAAAACATGTTGTACTCCCTAACAAAAATTGTCTTAGAACACCCCTACCTTCCCATAACGGCCACCTCTCCACAACGGCCACTTTCTTTTGTCCCCAAGGTGGCCGATGTGGAGAGGTTCGTTCGACTGTATAGACAATTTCGTTTCCTGGGTACCAGAGGTTTTTTGCCGGCGTGTGAAAAGACAAAAAAGGGCAGAAAAAGGCGTCTGCTTTCGCAGGCTACGTACATCGTTCTTCTCGCGCATTCATTTTTCTATCTCCTCAACCTCCCTATAAGCACGACACAAAGAGGACTCTTTGTATTCTTCGAGAAAACGAGCGGCCAAGCCGTGTGAAAAATAAAGTTGCTCCCGCCTCAATCTCTTCGCGGTTTCTCTGCCCTCGCCCGCCTTTATTACTTAGCACACCCAAAAAAAAAACCGCCATGCTACGCAGGCTACTGTTCTGCAGAATATTGAACCCACTTTGGTTTCGAGAAACACAACCGAACTAAAGATGATGGAAAGTGAAAGATCATATAAGATCCTCGTTTTTTGAATTAAGCTTAATTTTAATTAAGCCTGCATGGTGAAACGGCTTCAGTTCTATCAAGAATCGAAATAATGAAAGAGGCATGATCGGTAAGACAATATATTAAGGGTTTCTTTCATACCTACTACCGGTTCTGGTTGTAGTTATCAGTGCGTAATTTCCACTGGTGCGGTCAGAAACGAACATAAGGCGGAAACACATGTATAGCGGGCGGATTGAATGATCATCGCGTTTTTTCCCAATTTCTTGGGAAAGCTTCTCTTTAGTTGGTTAACGGACTCTGCCAAAGATTGTGTTTGAAATTAATTTAACCGTATACAGTAGTATGATACAATTGCACTCGCTTGGTCCATACTCACCACCTTAGACAGAGGCTTTCTGCATACGTAGCTTGTTTCCAAATCGGTGGTGCACGTGTTCGGTTGCAGTGACCGTCTGGAGGCTACGCTAGCGAATCATTGAACAAATCTGTTCTCCAAATTGCTAGTTATGCTGAAACTACTACCCAATATACGCGGTACGAACAAAGTATGCTTTTTTTAAAATTAGCCTGCGAACAGCAGACGCATTTCCGGGAAACCCAAGCAAGCGGCGAAACGATTTGCGTGACGCAAAACCTCTTAAGCCAATCACGGTTTAGCTCTTACTGAAAATCAAGCAACTAACTCGCGTTTACGAAAGTAAAATTTGCCAGGATTGTGGGACTAATTGATGAAATAAGCATTGCAAGAGGATTCATATTGAAGAAAAGATTAGAGGGCATTTTTATCCATTTACCTACGGAGTCAATGATTTATCACACCTAGTTACGGTATTCGAAACGATAAATGTCCTAAGGGACTGTTCGTTATTTATGCCTAAGGGGGGGTCGGTGATTTTCAAGCAATTCAGGCATTTGAAAAATTTACCCCTCCCCTGAAGTGGGTATTTTAAAAAATTACTCCCCCCCGTTTATGTGACAGGCCCAAAATGTAACCCCACCCCTCTCCCCTCAGGACGCGACGTGCCTCCGATTGCGAAATTGCGTACAACACGTGTTCTGGCCGGTTGCCGATAAACCAAAATCCATTGAAAGGTCATTTGTGATCGTACAGTATGGAAGCTCTAAATAAGCAAAGTGAATTTGCAGCGCCGGTGTTAACGTGGGCCCAGAAAAGATCAGATTTAAGAGAGAAGTCAACGGTAGGAAAGTTTGTAAGGAGCTCATTGCAAGGATTGAACCACGAGGATGTACTTCTGAAACTGGAGACAAAAATTATAAACAATGGCAAAGGTCATGCACGTGCATCCGCTCACGGGCTTCGCGCGATCATGGAAACAATGCTGCATGGTTCCCAGTTTTATATGTTATTTAAAGAAGCATTTCACATTTACGGTTCGTTTTTTGAAACTAAGAAAGACGAGGAAGCTTTTAGGGACATTTTACTTCATCTAGAAACGGGATTAAATGTTGTGATTGTGACGCATCCTGTTACGGTATATACACTTGTGCTAGGCTCGATTACCAGCCGCTGTTCGGGAAAATCAGCCCGCACTCATCCCCCGAAAGAGCTCTCTTTTCGGGAAGGATCAAAGACCGGACCCGGGAGACGGCGGAAATCGAGCCTACACTTGTGCGAGTTTCGCGAAAAAGTCAGACAGTACTGTATAAATAAATTTGTGCGAACAACTTGACTCAGTAAACACATTATCTTATTTGATAATAACACATATATACTAGTAAAACAAATTGGGCGTAGAACTCTACGCGAAAGCAATGATTCCGTAAAACTCTATATATATACCATTAAAAAAAATTGGGCGAGGAGCGTAACGCGAGCACAAGCACTCTGTATAATAATAAATATATACTAGTAAAAAATTTGGGGCGAGGAACTCTACACCAGCTTAACCACTCTGTATAATAATCAATATATACTAGCAAAAAATTGGGAGGGAACAACTCTACGCGAACTCAACCACTCTGTACACTAATAAATATATACTAGAAGTCAACTTACGACTTAAGGATCGGCTGAAAAGAATTGACGCTGAAATTGAGGAAAAGAAAACCGTTCTTGAGAAAAAACGAGAAACCTGGCCGTTGAAGCGCCTGCGGCTGTAAGTTTGTCGTGGTCTATCTCCATATCCGCAAAAAATGACTCCTACATGGCGTTGGCAAGCTGGACCAATCTCTAGTTTTGCTGTTTGAGGATTTCTATATACGCACTGACAATACTGTCTTACAACTACAACTGGGCCCGGCAAATGACACGTGGGTGGGTTTTGCTATTATTAAATATCAGATTGCATGTAAAGGGATTTATTCAGTTAATCGGTCAGTGTAAAACGCAGACTGCGGACTGCGGACTGCAGACTGCGGACCAGGGGTAAAATGAAGACTGTGTGTAAAATGCAGACTGCAGACTAAGAGTAAAACGCAGACCGGGGTAAAATGCAGACCGAGCATATTAAAACTGTAGTCGTGGAAGGGTTTAAGGGCAAAAAAATCCCGCAAATACATGTAAACGAACACTTACTTGACGATATCTGCTTTCACAAATCCATTCCTTTCTTCTCTGGACCGTCGTCGACGACCCGAAAACATAATCGCAATCTTGAACCTTTTTTCCGTCCGAGAGACTTCACGCTTCAACTTTGGATGCGAAGTTTTCGATATACGTGACCAGGGACCGTGAACTGGTACAACACCACGATGTTTACGCTTAAATGAAAGCTGCTGACCCAAAATACTGTACAGGAAGAATTATGGCGATAAAAAGGGGGTAAATCATTCCAACAACAAAGAAAGATGTTCTGTAGGAAATTTGGATGACCTTCTATGATAGTATTGCAAATCAAGGTACACAGTCTTAGGCTGTTCGGATGTTCATTGAAACTTCTGGTGAATGGGCAATGCACTTCGACTAGGAAGCGAAGTGTGTAACTGATACCGGCTAGCTATTTCACCGATTTGGAGAAGAAGGAGTACCAATGTTTAAAAAAGTCTACAGTCTTTATTCTGCATTTTGCACCCAGCCTGCGTTTTACTCTCAGTCTGCAGTCTGCATTTTACACTCAGTCTGCATTTTACCCCTGGTCCGCAGTCTGCAGTCCGCAGTCCGCAGTCTGCGTTTTACACTGACCGATAAGTTAATATATATTGGAACCTTTAAATAACGCTACTCCACGTCACGTTTTCTTGGCTTTTCAAACTATAAAGACCAGGCGCTTTGTATTAAAATAGAATTCTCGATACAGAGTTCAACTTTTTAAATATGTCTGCAAAACGGCTACACAAGTGTTGAAACAACAGTTTCTAAAAGCTTACCCCCATTTGTATTTTAAAAAAACACCCCCCTTTTTCATTGGTTTTGAAAATTTTACCCCCCCCCGCACTCTAAACACCGGCCCCCCTTAGGCATAAATGACAGTAGACGCATCATGCCGTTTGTTGGTCTGTCCGTATCTGGTTGCTCGCAGGAAAGTATGCTTTGGAGAACTCTTCGATAGTTTTTCGTGTGCCGCTTTAGATATTTTTAATAGATATCCTTTACTTTTGATCATGAAAGCTTCCCATGCGTGGTTACCTCTTGGTTCCGGGAGACACAACTTTGATCAGATCGAAAGCATTTTATATTTGTTCTTATATATCTTTAAATACATGTTCTTTTCAAGGTTTTAATTTCCATAGTTTTTTTATAAGATGAGTCGAAGCGTCGTAGCTGAAATGTCATCTTGACTATAATCAGTTTACTGCTGTAACTATTTATTTCACTCTGGGTCTGGCCCAAAGTTATATATTTCAGATCATTGTATTGTGGCCATACTTGATTTATTAACGAGCGATTGTCAGAAATTTCTGAGTCAGTCAAGGATGTGTCCGTATAATTAATTCACCAGCTTTTGTCAGCGCTGGTTAAATTGAAATAAATAAGTCTGAGCGCGAGGTCGTTCAGCTATGTTACTTTCCTTTCTCTGTAGCGATTATTTTGTCCAGGTTTTGTTTATGTCACGCACGTACTACTGTAGTTTACAAAGCGAAACCAAAGGCCCACATCACATACATAGCTTAATTAAGAAATAGTTACTTCATGAAGAAGTCAGCATTCAACGTCGCAGTCGTCCTTGTTATAGTAGTGAAATTCACGTTCCAAAGCATATTTGGTAACTCTCACCAAAATCCAAGACACTTCAGCGCGATGTCGCGAGAAGTCTCTGGAGCAGTATTCTATCCTTTGATCTGATTGGCCAACATCAAAACAAAAGGTTTTACGTCACGGAAATCGTTTTGCCGCTCAGGTTCGCAGACGCTATTTTTCGGAGGGAGAGAAGCGACGACCGGAAATGCGTCTGCTGTTCGCAGCCGTAAGGATCGAGTATTATAAGAATATCAGAAATAGCTTGAAAGAGATCTTGAGTGTTTCCAGGAGCATTACTGTGTCTTATTTCAAACATAAGGTTAGCTAAAGGCTCATAATACCAAAATTTTAACGGTAAAACACCGGCGTCAATAAATAAAGGAATTGTATGCTGATTTCGCTGAGAAAAATAGATAAAGCGAAGAGCTCGCTTTTGAAGCTTGAGAAGCTTGTTCAAGGTACGATTTACATGCTTTACGATTAAGCTTTAAGCTTAAGGTTTACTGAAGACAAACAAGTTTCATTATTAAAACTACATCATTCAAAAGACTCTTAAAACAGTGCGTAAAATCAAAGGAGCATATATATGGTGAGAGATTTTGTGCATCGAGTGACCACTTCTAAACTTAATAACTAAATGTGTGCCGTGCAACTTAACACTAGTTTATTTGGACTTTTGTTTTTAGGCCATCGTAGTTTGATCAAAAATAAAACACAGACAGCGGTGATAAACATTGCGAGCTTTCGAATTTTTATAAACTTGACGTTTCGTATGCAGCGTATGCTAATCAAAATTCATTTTCAAAAGTTATCTTAAGTGACCATTGAAGATATTGACTATATACAAAAATTTACATGATGCTTTATTAGCTGTTTCCTCTTGTATCAAGAGCCATAAGGGCTCTGTTAAGATTTTGAATTCCAAAATCTCATTTCCGGGCCCCTTGTAAATTTTTGTATATATAGTCATACGAAACGTCAAGTTTATAAAAATTCGAAAGCCCACAATGTTTATCACCGCAGTTTTTGTGTTCTAGTTTATTTGACTTATCTTCTGCTCTTACATGATTCCAGTAACGTTTTCAACAGATGACTATTCAGAATAATTTGTGATCTCAAGAGTGCAACTGAAGCCACGGTGTAAAGGGCCGTGTTGCATACTGACCTGCACTCTGCTAGAATGAACCAGCAAGACGGCCAATAAACGCCCGTGGAACATTTCTCCTTCGATTATTGTAAAAATATCAATTTTTCCGTCAAAAGCTTGAAAGAAAAATTAAAGGTGCAGCTATGCTTTACCCTAATAGTTTTAAAAAAATGTCAAAGTTGCTAGCTGAAAACACTGGGCCATGAGATCACGAAATGATGGAAATTGTGGGAGGCTGGAAGGGCTGGCAGCCATTTACGTCCTTTACTGAGAAGAGATCTTCTGCTTCCCAAAACAAATAATTAAAATCACTGTGCGTAATCTTTATACGAATTGTAGGTAATTCTACTGTAGCTAAATCTTATAACGAAGTTTGTAAATTGCGAACGCTATTCAGGGCCATACACCAGCCATGTTTTCCACTGGAGCTAACAAGAGCTGCAGTCATACGTTTCCTTGTCTTGACGTATATTGCGCAAAGTTAATAATGTAGAATGATCTATTTCTTTCTTTATTTCTTTCTTTCTTTATCATTCATAACCAGAACAATTAAATCACGCCTGTGGAGGTCGCCCCCAAGTAATTTCCGGTAGACCACCTTATTTAAAATGATTTCCATACTCTCGAGACTAAAATTATCATGTTCCGGGTCATTAATACCGTTGACTGGTTACCCAGGATTTAACTTATGCGATTATACGGGAGAGTGCTCGCAGAGGCCCATGTCAACTCAATGAAAATGTTACGGTTTGCTCCATCTTAAATTCTGACCCGATACTGGAACCAAGCCGGCCTAAAAGGTCTCTGAATAAGGGCCCCCAAAGAGT